TTTTTTTTTTTTTTTTTCTCAGGATTAATTAGAACCGTATCATCGAAATTCTAGAATCTATTTGGTTTAATACAACACTACTCTTCAGATATTTCTTCTTTATTTTTCCCTTCTTTCTCGTTTTCTCTACGGAACTATAGAACTTCGGGGCAATTTCTAGAATTTACGTAACGGGGCAACAAATTACATTACGTGACGTTACATTACGTGGAAACGGTAAGAAAAGAAGAAAAAAACGAAACGAAGCAAAGAGAGAAGCGAAAATTGAAAAATCGTTCTTCATTTACATATGGTTACAGGAAGAAAAAAAAGAAGAAAGAGAGAATTACTCTTTCAACCATACCGTTACCTTACGTTCCTCTTTTTCTTATTATGTGCATGTAATCAAAGAATTATTCGACTAGGTATATTATCTTAGGATTCCTAAATCTCCAGCTGTTACGTAAATTCCTAAGAGGGGGGCTCCTCGAACCCAACCATGTCTTCTTACTTATTTATCCTGAGAGAAATTGTTTCTCCATTCCACTTCATTTAGTATATCATATATATTGTAATGCATACTTTCGTTTATATGTGCTTTGAGAATAGAATTGTATCGTTTAACAGAATACTGAATCTGAATCTGATGTTACGTATGGATGACACATATGTTTAACATATTTGTAGAGTGTTTTCAGCATACATGATATTTAAAACAAGTTTGCTTAGGTTTAGATAAAGTCAATTCTTTTGCTTCTAGCTATGTTACATATTTTGTAACATTTCTTCTTTTTTCCCCTTTGCTGAAAGATGTTTCTTTTTTATTTGCCTTTCCACTACTTTTGTCGTTGAAATTTCTGTTGCACGTGCAACGTTGAACTTTTCTTTTCTAACTGATTTTTAATCAATTCACGAGTTAATTCTTGTTTCAAAGGATTCATTTTCTATTTGTCTTCAACCTGTATACGACAATTAATAATTTTTTGAAAATTTTTCACGCGACACTTTTAAGACAAGATTTAATGTTATCTGAATTGTGGGTTCGAGACGCTCCCATCTTCTTGATGATTTTTACTTCTATCTTCATGCATACGAAGCTTCCGAGTCTTTTCGAGTTACGAGTCGCATCGAAAAAATATAGAAAAAATTTCTTTGGAAATGTTAAGGATTGAAGGTCGAAGGTTTAAGCGTTTGAAGAATTGATCCACTGTTTCCTTTTTTCTTTCTATGTATTAAGATATACAAAATATAGAAAAAATTTCTGTTGGAATGTTAGGAATAATTTCATTCTTTAGTGGATCGAACATCATTGTTTCACTCTTCTCTTCTTCCCTTTTCTTATCCATTAAACGTGTGTTAGAAATTTCGTTTGCAAATGCTACATTTTTTAGAAGACATTCGGGTTACCAGTATCTTTATAATTATCATTAACCCATTGGCATGCGTAATTATTTTTTGATCTCCCTGTGGCATTAATTCCTTTAATAATAATAATTTGATTCCAATATCTCGAGAAGTCAACTCTTGATTCCATTAAGAACCAAGCAATAACTGATCATGACGTTATAAATACTTCGAGTTCTTGAATTTTCAGAAACAGTATCACCAAAATTAGACCAATTCCCAAAATTCTCTTTCACGAGCACTACAGTTAAATTTGATATTTACGATAATCAAATGCTTGGTATTTATAATTATACAATGTTTGATGCAGAAGATCTGATAATATAAATGCTTCAAAATAAAAAATTACTAATTCAACAAAAATATTTTCTTAATTGTTGTCTTCCTCATCGATGAGGAAGCCATTGGAGAGTTAACAATTCTTTTCAATCAATTTATATTTGTATTATTTATATACTTTTTGATATATCTACGAAAGGAAATTTCAAGAATTCGGAAAAATTTGACACAAAATTTCTCGTCGTTATATCTTCCGCTTACAATTACATTAATAAAATTTGAAAAAAAATTGATGATTAGACCGCGGATTTCTACAGTTTTTAAATTGTGAGAAATTTGAAGGTGCACAAAAGTTCACAGAATACACGAAATATACAAAAAAAAAAAAAGTACAAAACATCAAAAATGCATTCTACATAATAATTACTAAAAA